TGCGCTACCTTTGGCAGGCGCGATCGAGATCGTAGTGAGATCGTCGGAAGGACATGTATCACGCTTGACGAGCTCTGCATCCGAGTCGATAGCGCTGGGCAATGCAAAGGTTACTGCTACAAGTGCAGCTAGGCTCAGTGCGATCTTGATGATGGCCATCTCCTTTGACTGTGGTCGAGCTGACGAGTATTAGAAGGTGATTGGCGATGCAGCACGGTTACAGAGAGGGCGGCGTGCCTGTGGAACAGCGGAGATTGCAAAGTCGCCCGCACGACCTTGCGACGTGTCTGCTCAGATGATTTTTTGAATTCATGTACGTCTGGCGAGGATTCGTAGCTGCCATGCGTTACATACGCAAGCGATGTCGTGGGATCAGTGCTAGTGCGACTGTGTTTTCGATGACCTCGAGGTGCATTGTAGACCAGAGTGATGGCAGCAGCTCGTGAGGCCGGACTCCAGTGCGATCATTCCACATAACCGATCGTGAAGCGTATCGCACATCTTTAAGTCATACATCGTCTCGCTTTCAAACGGCCATGCGAGCATGACTGATCGTACATGCGCTCCGCTGAAGATTCATGCCAGGTAGATCGAGCTAAAGTTGTCCAGCTCCGCTTTGACTGTGTAAGAAAGGTGTGACCGCAATACTAGACTGTGTCTTATCGTCGCACTATGGCCCGCAGCTGTGAAGATTGGTGACAGCATCGAAACTTCATGATCTGCGAGCTGCAATTTTGCATGCAATTGGTCGAAGGATCAGGCTAGCCGAGCGTTTTAATAGGTCCGCTGTAGTGATCTCGCACGACTGTTCCGATTCGGACCCAATAGCTCAAGCTGACGTAAGGTACCAAGCGCAAGTAGAAATCGTGCTGCACGATTCGTCAGGGTTATACAGATGTGGCAAAGAAACATCACATACAATTTGGACTTTCAAAATTGAGCGGCCGCGGTAGAGCAGATCTAGCCGAAATAGGAACCAAGTGCCATCGTGGTCAAGTCCCTGGATCTGAAAGGTGTTTGTCGAGAAACCGTCAGCCGTTCCTGCTCCGCCCCAATTGAAGTGGGTATTCGGTGTGCTGGCTGCGAACAAGTGCCAGGCCTATGCATTGGCTTAGTCTGAGCGCCAAAGCAGGTGAGGATGAACCTGACTGACTTGAGATCCCTGAGGTACGACAGCGATGCAAAACTGCATCGTAAGCACGGGTGCGCTACCTTTGGCAGGCGCGATCGAGATCGTAGTGAGATCGTCGGAAGGACATGTATCACGCTTGACGAGCTCTGCATCCGAGTCGATAGCGC